AGCGCCGCCCGGACGGCGCTAGGACCGCGCACCCCCCCGGCCCCCGCCTCATCATCAGCTTTAAATCTGGGGGGGAAAAAAAAAAAATCCCCCTTTTACGGTTTTCAGAGCTTTTCTTGCCCTTTTTTTATTACGTCCCTTTATAACAAGGGCCGCCGGGCAGTGCCCGTCCTCCCTCTCTGCCGTGACGTGCAACATCTGGCTTCAGCTGCGCAAATAAAATCGAATTTTAAATGAGCTCGATGCGCGCATTGAAGATCCTGCGGTAACAGCCCCGGTCCTGGCTGTGCTGTCCTGTGCGCCGTGTTTTAATTCAGGGAGCTATATCGGTGAAACATCCGTAGCCTTGCATGCTGCTGAACTAATGGTAAAATGGGAGTCTTTGTTTGCATATCTTAATTATGGTGGAGAAAACGAGGGACTGAAAATGCCCGGCTATGCGGTCGTACGTACAGATCCGGCAGCACCAATAACCGAGAACATCTCTGCTGATCCTAGCAACGTCCATCAGCCCCACAGACTGACTGGAATTACTGACTGCAGTAACCCACCTGGCTGCAGCAGGTCTAGTTATGCTTAGCAATTTTTATTAGGAGGTAGAAGAAATAAAATTCCTGTGCTTACTGTTCAAAGGCATGTCTCTTTGTTGTCTAGGAATCCAACCGATTGGCGTTCTCCCCGAGTTGGCTTCTGGAGTCATATTTTCTTGGTCATGGCTACTTCTGGTATGTAGTATTACGTAGGAAATACTCTCGTGGTTTTTTTTCTCTTAATTTATAGAGTCATAGAATTGTTAAGGTTGGAAAAGACCCTTAAGATCATCGATTTCTCAGAAATATTTTTCAATCTAATCTAGTAAAATAAACTGTCGTCACCACGCTTTCCTGCCATATCTAGGCTGCTTTGGAGAAGCTGTTAAAAGCGGGTGCTTGTGGAAACACACCAAAAGCCCTCTCAGATGAGGCTGTGAGCAGATGGGCTCCAGCCCAGCTCATCTGCATGCCATCTGCTCTGCGAACAGAGCTGACTGTCATCCAGACATCTTGGTGATCAAAAGTGGTGTGCTGGTACAACGGACACCATGCAGGGCTGACGTGCCTGTTCAGAGGTGTTTGAAGAGAGAACACCGCACCACGTATTTCTTCGAAAACTGGTTTTGGTTCTCGGCTATGTCGGGTCTTAGGCGAACGCCTTGAACTCTTCCTCAGATTTCTCATTGGAGAAAGAATGATTTTTTTTTTTTTTTTATTTGAAGTACTGATAAACTTGTTTTCACGGCCCTGGATATTAAAGGCTAAAATAAAACGTCAGGCGCTTGGGTAATGCGGTATCAAGGAAGAACTGCAAACCAAATCACCTGCCGCATTTTTGAATGGCGTTGCTGCTGCTTAAAACAAAACCGTCGCTCAGATCCCGACTGGCTCCTTAAGCGAGCTTTGTGGCGTTGAGTTTTTGAAGGCTGCTGTTCAAGTTACCTAAGCCAGTTTCTGGCTTAAAATACTGTTTGTTTGGTTTTTTCCCATGTTCCTAGATATTCAAGTGAAGGAACTGGAAAAGCGTGCCTCTGGGCAGGCATTTGAGCTGATCCTGAGTCCTCGCTCAAAAGAAGCAGTCCCAGAATTCCCTCTTTCTCCCCCAAAAAAGAAGGATGTGTCATTGGAAGAGATTCAGAAGAAGTTGGAAGCGGCAGAAGAGAGACGCAAGGTAAATTTGAAACAGCTTAAGCGAGCTGTGCTCAACTAGTCTGTGCAAGTTGTGTGGGTTTGTTTTTTAAATTGTGGCTTGGGACAAGCGATAGCAGTTTGTGTTATGGTACATGGAACACTAATTGAACTTTGGAATCTCTGGGGCTCTTGGGAACCTCTGTTACGGCCTGCCAGGCCGTAGCTTTGTTCCCAAGGTGATCTTGAGTGATCCCTTGAAAAACCGGGAGGAAATGTTTAGCTGAGAGGGGATGCTCTTTCAGGAGGAAGCTGGTTTTCTTGTCTTTAACATCATAACCAGATTCACTTTCTCCTAGAAAATGTAGTGCTGAATCTGTAAGGAGAAGGTTTGCCAAGGCAGCGTCTGACCTGATGTGAGCTCTTGCTGTTGGGAGGTAGCTTGGAGCCCTTGGCTGTGCAGAGGCTCGCTAACTGGAGCGCAGCCCCCTGTGTGACCTGAATCACAGCGCTTCACCATTCTGAGAAGCGAGAATCTTCTAGGAAAGACCTACTGATGTTAACATAAAGATCCGTGTTCCTTTTTCCAGAAAAATTCCATTTAATAAGGCTTGCAAGTAATGACAGAAACTTTGCTTTCCTGATCGTTTGTAATGGTGAAATGTGGGTTATGTGGGTGGAGGAGGCACCAGGGAGCTTTGTCCTGCATCACAAAGTTATGCTGTTCTCCAGCAAAATAGCAGAAAGTCTTTTGTCTTGGGAGTTGTGAGCAACTCGAGGACGGTCGCCTGTGTAGTTCATCTGGTTTATGTTCAAAGCGTACATCCTCTGTTTTGTTAGTCTCATGAAGCAGAAGTCTTGAAGCAGCTAGCTGAGAAGCGGGAGCATGAAAAAGAGGTGCTTCAGAAAGCCATTGAAGAAAACAACAACTTCAGCAAAATGGCAGAGGAGAAGCTGACCCACAAAATGGAAGCTAACAAAGAAAACCGTGAGGCACAAATGGCTGCTAAACTGGAACGCTTGAGGGAGAAGGTGGGTGTGGAGTCCCGGTTCCCAGTCCGTGGGGGGGAGTTGATCCATGCTCCTCACGGTGGCTAAATAGAGCCAAGTAAACGGCCAAGTGAGGGGGGGGGCTAGGAATAGACAGACGTCCCTGGGAGTTCTGCAGTGGTCTAACCTTGAAAATGATTAAGTCTGCAAAAGACTTTGCAGAAATCCTCTTCTCGGGGCAGAGGGGATGGGCGGAGTTAAGCAGCGTCTCGCTTTCTCTGATACAGCTTCATCCCCGAGCCCCCTTCCGTAACGCAGACCCCCGGGCTCCTGCCCTGAGCAGGGGTGGGAAGCAAGCGGGGGCTGGCTCTGCCGCTCTGCGCCAGGGCGGCTCACGGCTTCCCTGCTGTTGTCTTTCAGGACAAGCATATTGAAGAGGTTCGAAAGAACAAAGAAGGCAAAGACCCCGGTGAGGCTGAAACCGACTGACTTCATTCTGGAAACTGACTCTCTCCCCCTCCTCTAAATATCCAAAGACTGTACTGGCCAGTGGTTTTATCTTTGGTTTGGTTTTTTTTAAGTTTCTAGAAACTGATGTAGAACTGTAAGATTAGATCCAAACTGTACACTTTCTTTGGGGGCTAGAGGGGAGACCTTACATGTTTCACTTTTTCTAAAGTGTTGTCTTTCCAGTGTAGCTATCTTCTTGTTGCATCCTTTTCTACTCCAGTGTGCTTGCTGCTGGGTTGACGGCTAGTACTGTATCAGCTCTGTAAGACGTTTGTGAAAGGAATATGTAGTTCCATGCTGAATATTTGTTACACTTCAAAAATCTGACTCTGTCCCAGTCTGCTAAAATACTGCTGTAACTGAGTGACTAAATAAAGCTGCACAGTGCTGTTATCATGAGAATTACTTCTGAAAAATGACATCGGAAACAAAATCAGTTGGCTGAGGTCTGCGGCAGGCGTCCTTACGCAGTGCTGGGCGGAAAGGTCTGTAGCAGCGCTTTTCCTTGCGTCCGCGGGCACGCTGCGTGACTGCCTTTCCCCAGAGCACTCTCATTGTCTTAATTTTACAATCGGAGCTTTGTTTTGACACCTCAGCAGTTGTCAGCTGTTGTGTGTTGTTGTTAAAGAGTTGAGAACCACCTCCCGTTGGATGCGGACACTTCAACAAACACGTCCTTGTTACCCCATGACTGATCTGAGCCTTTTTTTGGTAAGGGTTTCTAGAAGCTGACTTGTGCTGTTGAATGGCGACTTGTGTACCGCTTCTCGCAGCCTCCGAGCGTGAAGTCGGAAACCTGTTCTGTGCTGGGATCAAACGCTGTTGTGGATAAGAATTATTTTTGATTTGGTGCCTGCCGCAGACGCGTTGGGGTAGTACGCTGTGCCGCAGGGCGAGTCCCGTTACTCCTGCCCACGACGAGATGTGCGTCATCTTTCTTTGTTTTTTTTTCTGGGATGTGAGAAATAGATATGACTGCCCTCGTGCTCTGAGAAAGATGCTTTTCAGGTGGATTGGGTACAGAGTTGCTGTGTTGTACAGGTGCCTTAAAAACCCAAACCCCTTCCTCTAGGACTAATCCAGAGTCCTGCACAGCCCCAAGTACTCGTGCCGCTCTGCGGTAAAGACGCGCTTGCAGCTGGTGCGTGAGCAGCCACTAACGGGTACAAACAGCATCGTGTTGAGGTACTCGGCTTCGGTCGGCACCGTCCCTCGGCGCGGGGAAGCCGTGGGTTCCACAGCCCCCGTTCGTGGCGCTCGGCGGCCCCCGTCTCGGTGAGGCGCGCTCGCTCCTGTCCTCCCTTCTGTGTCCTTGGCCCCCAGGCTTGTGTTCAGGTTAGCTCCGCACCTGGAGCGCGGGCGCTGGCCGGGTGACAGGCTCCCATGTTCTAAGGATGGAAAAGCTGGTAGGGATTTTTTTTTTTAAGGGGCTAATTGCGTCCTGCACCACTTGCCCTGTCTTCTGGGGCTTGCTAAGGAAGGAACCTCAGTTTAGAAAGCTTTCACGTATCACATTGCATCAGTTGTACTTAACCGAAAGCCGATATTACACTGTTTAATGAAAGAACAGTGAGATCAAGTCAGTCGTGATGCGCTGGAGGGCTGGGATCGGATCCTCTGCCTGGGGAATCTTCAGAAGCGTTGCCATACTTCGTGATGTGGGGTAAGAGACCGCGTCTGCCTGTTGGGGAGCGCCCGCCGCAGTGGAGGAGCGGTGCGGGTCTGGGGTTTTTAACAGCAGGTATCCGCAGCTGAGAGCACGGGCTGCAGGCCAGGGTCCAGCCGGGGAGGTGAGGAGGAGGACGGGAACACGGAGCTGAAGGGAGACGCGGGCCTGAAGCCCTGCTGTGAAAAGCTGAGTATCTCTGGTACCACGTAAGGGAGGTTTAAGTGATCAGTTCCCGTGTACAAGATCAGGCATAATTAGCAATCAAAAAAAAAAAAAAAA